CATAACAGTACTGTAATGAATAATATGTCTACTGTATACAGTACTGTAACACCTTATGAATATGTAATTAATAAATGTAATGATACAAAACTAAGAAAAAAACCATGCAAAAATCAGGTTACATTTTTTGGTTGTGTTGTAAAGCAACATTTGAATTTTCTATCCTTTCGTGAAAAAATAATTGATAGAAAATAAAAGTATTGATTTGTTAATTTTTAGCTGATTTCAATTGAAATTTAAATCAATGATTTTTGAAATAAAACAATCCTAATCCCAAAGACTCTTCATACTGTACAGTACTGTACTGTATAACCAATGTACAGTTGTGCACAAAGAGAAAAAAAGGGAAATAAATTGCGAAATTTACGATCAGCATTCACTTTCACTTACATCAATTTCTTGGATAATGTCTTTTATTTTGCTTCCTCCGTCTTTCATTTTGATCCCTTTTACCCTCTCTTCCAGCATAAGAGCTCTTCTTGACTTAGCTGCTTGGCATCCAAAGGTCCGTTTTGTAGCCATTTTAGCAAATCAGTATGTATTGTATTGTATTGAATGCAACGTAATACTTCCTGAACTACTGCGCATGTGTAAACCAGTGTGGTGGTTGCTGTTGCAGTTTCAGAGCAAAGCAGTAAAGGTCGCTGTTGGCTGAGGTTGAATTAGACTTTTGCGGAAGACTTGTTTTTGTTGTAGTGAATCTCGTCGCGAGGCAAGAGCAGAGAAAAAGATTTCGTATTACGGAACAGGGGGATTTTTCATTGTACGGGGAGCAGAAAAGTGGGAATGGCTTTCATGCATGAACATTTTTCACACGAGGGGGGATTTTCGCCCATGTAGGTTTTCGTTGTAGAGGACTGTACATGTTACAATTAGTTGGTTGCACAATAAATGAGAGTTGTGCATAATGTAAAAAACAAAGATGAAAGAATAAAAATGATGGTCATTTAACTTTTAACTGCGTCTTCATCGTTTTTTTTGCCCTCTTTAGTTCATGTTCTCTCTCAGAAGTGTTTTTTTGCCTGGCGTTTTGTAAAGAACTGAGCAAAGGACATCTGCTTTTTTCGGCTTTTAACAATCCTTCGAAAATGTCCAGCATAGTGAGCGCTCGCTCGACTGGTCAAAACTTGAATCTGGGTGATTCATACTTACATAAACTATCGGAACACCACATAGCAGGATGGGCGATTGACGAGGACGCTGAATAGACATATCTATCTATCTCTACACATAGACTCGTACTGTAGAGGTCCCTCTTAGCCAATGGGATGCCAGGATAATGCTCGGGAATAGCCAATGGCACAGCAGCTCTAAGTATGTTGCATTCAGGAAACTCGGAGCTGTGAGTAGCAACCCATACTGTATTTTTACCTTTCGTATCTTGACATTTCTTTCGTAACTAGAGGCAATATTTTCCTGTTGAGGCGTTTTGTAACTTAAAAATTTCGTATGAAGAGACGTTCGTAAGTAGAGGCACCACTGTACTCCATCTGCATTTGTTGGTATAACGCAACATTTTTGTCTGTTGGCTTATTAATGCCACTTATTTTACTCTGTGGCACTTTGAAATATAAAGTGCATTACAGATAAAGTTGTTTCTTGTCATTACGTTTCGCAAGAAATGTACACAGTGCAGTTTTGAGGCAAGTCCAGATTTGTAGCTTGCAGATATGTCATCAGTGTTAAGATGTGACACGTGACGTGCATATGGATAGTCTTGACAGTGCATTCTTATCAATCGCGCATGCTTGGATTAGCCCCACAAACGGTCGTGCTCTGCATAGAAAGCGCACACTTGCACTTTCTGATCACAGACACGGTCAGCCATTGACGATGGTGCGTTTGTTGTTGTCGCTGGGGCCCCGCCATGTAAGCATGGGGTGTGCTCAAGAGAATGAACTGTGGCCTTATGTGTGGCTTCATTTTCGACTAAATGAATGGAACAATTTCACCATCTTGTCCACAGAGGTCTATGAGCCCTGTCTATATGTGAAAAAGAAAGAAAGGAAAAAAAAATTGGCATCTGTGTAATGTGTTGTACCACATGCTCTTCGGCAAACTTTTTGTTGTATTTTGACCAGAAATTATGACCCAGGGCTGCGTTATGTTCGATGAATTGCTCCACCGACCCATTTCTATAAACCACGTTATTTAATCCCTTTTGACGAGACACCGGACACAGACAAATTACAAACAGCATAAAATTTATGACCCATTTAAAATTCATAAATTCAATGCCTTTAAGAGTTTTAAAGGCCTAGTGGGAACCCTGTAAGAACAGTGGATGCTATTTAGTACGCTGTTATGTAAATAGACAGAAGCACAATACTGCACAACTGTGTATGGCTTCAGGCAACAGTTTAAAAGGCAGGCTGAAGCTGAGACTATAGTTTACTGAGTGACAAGAGGATTCTGTTTAAATATACGCGGTGGTGGACAGCTTTTCTTTACTGATTATTTTAGTGGTTAACATTTCATTAAATGTGTTGTGTGTTTTTTTCGACCTTTATCAAATACAGTATTTTGTTTTAGCTGCGCTTTTTTTCTGGGGGTAGGGAGGGTGTATATAAAGGTTTAAACGGTGACATTGATGCTACTCATTAGCCAGTCTATGGTGTTTTGCATTTTGCGTTAGCATCATGCTAGTGCTAAAAGTCTTTTTTGCAAGACAAAGCTTTGTGTTTGCTTCAATATACAACATTTAATAACTTAAGAGTGTCAATAAACAGCTTGAAGCAAGCATGCAGCTCTTTTTGAAGAACTGTTTTGCCATTTGGCAAATTGCACTCATGGAGGAGGGAATAGTATAGTGTACCGTACTGCAGTCCAGGCTGCTGAAGACTATCCGGTGTCGTGGTATCAAAGCGTTTTTACGAGGACGAGAACAGGACTGGCATTTCCATCACATATGGTGCGACTTCACCATGTTGACGATACGAACAGCAAGAAGGCAAGGGTGAAATCTAAAGCAGCCTTCATTGGCAGGCTTTTACAAGCAGGCAAAGACCCTTTCCTGGAACAACTCTCTTCTCTAAAGGTGGGAAAACCCAAAACAAATTGTTGGATTTTGTACTAATCAAGAATACAAAATGCTATTGTCAATAAGAGATATTGCTGAACAATTACAAACACGTACACAGCAAACAATCAGTGACATTTCTGAACAATGAACAAGCCTACCAATGACAAAGGCCTCTTTTGACTGGGTGCCATGCTCGTTGTACCAAGGGGGGCGCCCAGCGGTGTAGATGGTGCGCTTGGAGGTGCGGAGGAGAGGTGGCTCAGACTTGCACTGACTGGTGGTCCTTTTCCGGGGTGAAAGGCCCGTGCTTACCGAGGGGAGGAGGCGGTCTAGAGAGCCATCGTCACCTCCGCTGCAAATAAACAACAAAGCTTGAGTCGTCACCATCGTTCAGTAAAAGAATACTTCTTGCCCTCTTAATTGAAGATCAAACAGTGTCCCTGAACCGACTGTGTTTGACCTTGCATCTGATTGTGTACATTTTAAAAGTATCCCACACGTGTACAACCTGGAGCACATATAAACACAACCATCCACACTACGGGTAAAGAGTCTTCAATCAGGCCATGAAGCATGTTTTTGTGATCTGAAACAAGTACTTCAGAAAAAATCTACATAGGCTGGCTGCGAGGGAGATGAGACCACACCCAGAATCAACAAACCAAGATCATAATTGGAACCCCCCGCCACACACACACTCCCCTTTATAATATTCACAAATTGGCCACATTATAATCAGACCAACTGAGCTTGGATCGCATTAGATTGTGCAAATGGGCAGAAATTAATGTTATGATTGGGTATTGTACGTTCTTGAAATAAACTATTTAGGTGTGGGGTATAACAGAGGCTTAAAATCCCAAGACAACTAGCTCATCATTGTGTTACTGGTCGCCATGTTAACAGTAAACAAGACCCGGTATGTGCTGAGTTACTGCTTATTGAAGGTTAATGTTTAGTTCTTACCAGCATGAAAAGCTTTGGTCCATCCAGTCGAACGCCAACATGAGCCAAAGTACACAAACTGACCCGAATCCATGACAACAGCTCAGCTGATTGCACGACTGAGTAATGTGCATGCGGCTTGCTGAGTTAGGCTACGACGCCAGAAACCATGTGTTATCATAAAAAGGTGTCACGAGGTATGAGGTTGTTCCAGTGGCGGGCCGTGCATTTCAACCTTAGGCCTTAAGTGACGTCACATATTATGAACACAATACTGTATCGGCTCGTCAAGCAGCACTTAATTTCAGGAGCATTTAAAACCATCAAGTATGCATTCACAATTAAGAGCAGGAAACTACATTTACAGATAGTCAAAAATAAAAAGATGATTTAAAAATACGAAATAAAATGCCACCCAAATTACCCTGTGTGATCTTAAACAAGTCTGTCCAATAAATTGCGCAATGTCGCAGTTTCATATAAGACACCAACCAAACAATAACAAAACAAACTGTTCTTTGAAAATAAAGTAAACAGATCA